GGCGGAGCTAAAATTGCCAAATACCTGTACGATCAGTTCAAGAACCGGTTCGCCGATGAGCTCGAGCGTTTGCGACCGAATGAAACACCGTCGGATGCGTTGCGACGAACTTACCTTGGCCTCAACAAGGAACTCGCTACGGCTGCAAGTCAGGGTCTGGACAAAAACGGATTCACTGCACCATCAACACAGACACGCAATTCAGTGCCTGACCTTAGTGACGACGACCTGACATCGGGAAGTGTGGCAACAGTACTATTCTTGAAAGAGATGGAGCTCTACATCTCCAACGTTGGCGATGCGCAAGCCCTTCTGATCCGTTCAGAAGGTGGACACAAGATTCTTACCAGGAAACACGACCCCGCTGAGCCAAGTGAGCGATCCAGGATACGAGAAGCCGGCGGATTCGTCTCGCGGCAGGGTAAGCTCAACGACGTGCTCGAGGTGTCGCGAGCCTTTGGATACGTTCAAATGTCGCCATCGGTCATTGCTTCGCCGCATATTATGAACCTTACTCTTGGCGACACAGATGAGATGATCCTGATAGCTTCGCGAGAACTCTGGGAATATCTCACTCCAGACTTTGCTGTCGATGTCGCACGATCAGAGCGCAACGACTTGATGGTCGCCGCCCAGAAACTGCGCGACCTGGCCATTGCCTTTGGCGCAACGAACAAGATCATGGTCATGTTGCTTGGTGTCAGTGATCTCAAGAGCAAGCAACGTGCTCGATACCGCACCCAAAGCATGTCCCTCATACCTGCACCTGGTGCGGATCCAGACTGGGGCGCATCACGCAGACGTGGAAAGAAAGGTAACTTGGTTGGTGACTCCAAGCTCGCTCGACTCGACAACGAAGTGGACGCGCCAACGGGCGAAGTCAGTCTGGTGTTTACGGATATCAAGAACTCGACCATACTCTGGGAGACGTACCCGATTGCTATGCGTTCTGCAATAAAGATGCACAACGAGCTTATGCGCCGACAACTACGCATTATTGGTGGGTACGAGGTCAAGACGGAAGGTGATGCCTTTATGGTCGCTTTCCGCACTGTGACATCAGCTCTGCTGTGGTGTTTCACGATCCAGAGCCAGCTCCTCGAAGTACAGTGGCCGCAAGAGATTCTCAACAGCGTCAATGGACAAGAAGTCGTCGATCCAGATGGTAACGTCATCTTCCGAGGTCTGTCAGTCCGCATGGGTATCCACTGGGGCACGCCAGTATGCGAAGTCGATCCCGTCACGAAGCGCATGGATTACTTCGGACCCATGGTCAACCGCGCCTCACGTATCTCCTCCGTAGCCGACGGCGGCCAAATCACCGTCTCATCCGACTTCATCGCCGAGATCCAACGTCTGCTCGAAACGCACATTGAAGGCGACCGTAAGAACTCCGCCGGATCCGAAGAAGCCTACGGCGACGACATGAACAGTCAAATGATCCGCGGCGAACTCCGCTCCCTCAGCTCCCAAGGTTTCGAAGTCAAAGACCTGGGTGAACGTCGTCTCAAGGGTCTCGAGAACCCTGAGTATATCTACCTCATGTACCCGCACTCGCTGGCTAGTCGGCTTGCGGTCCAGCGCCAGACGGAACAGAAACCCGTGGAGCAGCAGAAGGAAGCTACAGCTGGTCAGAAGATGGCAGGCAGTCAGCTCACTATTGATACAGAGGATGTCTGGGATCTCTGGAATATTAGTCTACGTCTGGAGATGCTGTGCAGTTCCCTTGAGAGCCCCGGTTGCTCGGAGTTGAAACCGCCTGAGACGGCGCTGCTAGAGCGGATGAAGAGTCGCGGTGGTGAGATTACGGATCGTTTCTTGATTAACTTTGTTGAGCATCAGATTTCGAGGATCGAGGTATGTTTTATGATCTTTCTGCGTCTTAGGGGAGTGGTATGCTAATGTGGGAAATAGTCTTGTGCCAGCACACTTGCTCTACGCCACCGTATACGGCCGTTCGGCAGTGCACCGCTGCTTGAACAGGCGTGTCATATGGGCGATATCTTTGCGGAGCTCGATGCGAAGCTGAAGCGCTTGGAGGAGTTTGAACGGGGGGCGATTGAGGGTATGGCGCCTTCTTGAGCAGTGAACAGTCGCTTTGTCAAGAACATAACTATAGTACCACTCCGACCACGCGACCTCATGACAACAGACCACGACCACGCGCCGTCCACCCAAAACACCGCCTCCCGCTTCCTTACCCACGCAACACACCTATCTCTATCCTAATCCCACCATCCTCTCCCCACTCCTCGGCGCAGGAACACGGTGGAGCGCACATCTCTTCCTCTCGGTTATCGACATCGACTCACATACGCGCACCCGTATACATATTCATACGATCCGCTCGAACCGCCCTGGTGGCTGCGAACTCTCTATACTTTACTCACGATACCTCATCGCGCGTCACCTTACTTTACCTCAGTATCTGGATACCACTCTCACATCATCACATTATAACAGACCGGACTTTGCGAGGTCAAACATTTGGGTTTTCACGGCGTTTTGGGCGGGAGCTCGCTCTGAAGCGGAGTCGGTTTTTGCTTTGGGATTTGGGGTTTACGCGCTTTTGAGCGCGGTATGCGTTTCTTCTCTTTCTTTGCTGTCCTTGTTCATTTGGTTTGCGCGGCTTGGATTTGCTTGGGCATGCGACGCTACGTGTGCACGGGACTGTGGCAGTAGCTTGTAAGGTTTACTGTTATCATTGGAATCGGGGATGCGGATGGGAATGAGCGGGATGGGCTTGGGTTTTGACTGAGCGGACGGATCGGTGGATGGATAGTCTCTTTTTCACGGCCTTGGGACGAGGGAATGAGGATGAAGGTGGTGGTTTGTTTGAAGCCGTTTTGGGTATGTTAGGTGTATGATTGCAGGATTGGAAGGATGGCAAGGAGTGAGGAGATGGGTGGAATGAAGTGCGAATTGGAGAGAAGTAGGGGGTTAGTGAATGACTATCGCTTTTACCTGTGCAAACATGTCGTTCATCGTCTCATATTCGTGTGCGTGAGTCTGCGTGGCTGATGGCAGAGCTGTGTAAAACGTGGTGGCTACTCGGGTCTAGCGCACCACGACGCTTGGACTGGAGATGCGTATATAAATCCTTCTCGTGTCTTCCCCACTCTTCTTCTTCCATCACAAAAGCTTTCCTCTTTTCCTCCAAAAACAGCGATCACCACTAGCCATGTGTGCTCCTCCTCTTCTCTTCCAAAATCGGCAGACAAGATGGAACATGTGCGCTCCTCTCCAGCTTTTCCAAAATCGACCTGTGACTTGCCCATGTGCGCTCTTCGCTGGCTCTTCTCCAAACTTGCAAGACGACAACGACATGCGCGCTTCTTTCTTGCTTCTCAAAAAACTGACGTGCAAGCTCCGCATGTGCGGTCTCCTTGGCGCGCCTCAAACGCTTCCGCATGACAACGCCATGTCCTCTTTCGCGTCAACAAAACGTCAAAGGAACGTTGATATGTTCTCTGTGGACTACCAAAACTCCATATCCACTGTAGTATGCAAATAAAGAAGCGCAGGGGTCTTCGCAATATTAAATCGAATCCAAAAGACTCAAGATAAGGTGGAATGGTCCCCGGCTTCTGTGCTTCCTGTGCGGTCGTGCGGACTGGCTGAAGGTATATGAACTCCTCTTTCGCTCTTCAGTTTCTCTTCTGTCATTTACCTCAAAACATATCCAGAGTTTTACCAAAAGACTGGAGAAGTCTGGAATGGCGCGTTCGTCGGATTGACCAAAAACACTGAGAACAACATCGATGTTGCGGCCTCGCGCTGACGACTACAAGGGCCAAAGCGATGGACAGACTGAACATCACTGGGAAGCAACTGATGGTGTGTGCTTATCTCAAAAGATAAAGAGGTGTTTCCATGGTTGAGAGCGAGTGGGACTTGCGAAGATCGTCCCTACTACAAAATCACCGGAAAGATGTTTGATGGAGGGCGGTCTTCCCTCCTTCCGCAGCAGATCTAGGGTATATGAATCATCGATCAGCTTCTCTTATACCTTCTTCTTACCATCCATCACTTTATCCTTCGGGATCAAAATCTCACAACATGGTGTGGATGTTTCGCCTAGTCTGGAGACTTCTTCCAAAAGAATCGACACCCTCGAATATGTCCTCCTCGCCGGCCTGAAAGCGCCTAAAAGCCCTTGCGTCCTTTTTATGTTCTGTCGAAAAGGCACAAGAGCGAACATATGCACACAGTGTCTTGCTGCGATATCGAAAGTGGCTCATTCAGTAGTAATGTGGGAGATGAGCGTGGAGCGTATCTTATTCATATCGAAACAAGGTGCTCGACAGGAAATGAATAGTCTCTCTGCCTGGGAGATTTGCATATAAATATCACTGGCAACACCTTCATTCTTCTGCATCACACTCTGCCTGAGGCTTCCAGAAACACCTACGGTACGATGGATGTTCTTCTCTCTTTCCAAAAGTCAGCCCGCCCTCGGAATGTCTGTGTGTTCTCTTTCCTCGAAAACACCTCAAGTACACTACGATGAGTCTAGGCCTGTGGATCTTCGCATCGGCCAGGTTGCCGAATAAGTTACCAAATTTACGCTCTAAGATCCTGATGGGAGAGATCAAAGCTTTTAGGCAGAACTTTCATGTGTTTGAGAATTCTGTGTAGTCTGCGATGATACCTTAGGATGATGACTGCAAAACCAATGACGAATATCACATGACTCGATTGATGGGTATATAAACTTCACATTCGCACAGAGTCTTCTTCACTGCACTGCTTCTTACCTCGTTTCTAAAACGCCGACTATAGCCTGGATGGTGTGGAGATCTTCTCTCCAAAAACGACACATGTTTCAATCGATGAGATCCTCCTCCAGCAGCTCGCACGTCCAAAACAAACAAGATGAAACCGTTGCATGGAGAGCCACCCAAAACCATCCGTTATATTCCAAAGCCTCATCTCCTCGCCTCCATGATTCCCTACCACGTATTCCAAAAGCGCAGCTTGACATCCCTATGCGTGCCGCTCTACCGCGCATCACCAACCCCCCTCCTCCGATGCGCATGTCTGACCACAACGTTTACGCTCCTCCTCCTCGTCTCATTCGCTACAATCTCCGCCGCTGCAACACTCCGATGCATACCCGCGTGACACGTAGTCTGTATCGAAGCAACCTGGTTTCCAGCGTTGAAGTGGTTCGCTATGGCGGTGATGGCTTTGTTACTACCATATCTCAGATTAGCCCACCGCATGCTACTTGTATTGTTCAAAAGAACGGGGTAATGGGGCACATGGAAGTGTGGAGATGGATAACTCACATCTCTCCCATCGCCGTCCGACTGCCCAGTATAAACTGCTGTACCTGCGGACTTATGCCGGAGTATCTGTCACATATTTCGCGGGGTGGGGCACGCCATTTGTGGCAGTATATCGTGATCAGAGCTGGAAGATTGGAGGGTACATGTTGTTGCATAAGTTGTGCTTCGGCGTTTGGGTGACGTTTGAGGACTTCGGTGGAATAGGACAGAATGTAAAGGGTTTTCTGGACTGGTAATGCAGGAGGTGGCATCAAGGGTTGGGCATGGCGATGGGGAGGAAGGGGTTGAAGAAGTAGCGTTTGAGGCTGCAGCTGCTGGAAATGCTGTTGAGGTGGTAGCAGAGGTGGTAGTGGTGCAAGCAGCGGGATCTGTTGCAGTGGTATCTGCATTTGCATCTGCGGTATTGCGTGCACAAAAGGTTGGAGAGGAATCATTGGCATGTGTGGATATATTGGAAACATTGTAGATGATGCTTGGAGAAAAGAAGCGTAGTATGGCTCGCTGATCAGGAAGTCTACTTTGTGTATACAGCCATCCTGTGAAAATGTCACAGTGCCGGTGAAGAACGTCAGTGATAATCGACGGCCTTCAATCAGAAAGGCTATGTCTGGTACATTGCGTATGCTCGTGAACTCATCAGTGTGAATGGTACAACCAGCAACTTGTGGTTGTGCATGATGAATGTGCAAGTTCTCAACACGCACTGTCGGACTCCGCGTCTCCGCCTCACGGAGAATGAATCTCCGTATGTCAGCATGTTAGCATGTAAGCATTACAGTTTCGGTGTACTCTTTCCGTGTTCCAAATCAGAGTACTAGCACAACCGTCACACCGAATCTTCAGATGACTACCTGATCGCTGCCCCTTCCATACGTCACCTTCTCAAACAGCTACGCCACATCAACCCCAACGCTATCCGCTCCATGACCTCAAACTTGTGGATATTCCCCAGGACCGAGATAGTCGCCGTCTCGCCACAACGTCCAAGTATCAGCTTCCCCATGCAGTAGTTCTGCATACAGATAGGGCTGCATAGTACCACACGTCGCGCCAAAAAGTCCCGACCAGCTCCACGCCAACCTTCCAGCCTGCTTCTACACCCATCCTTCGAAGCAGATAACCGACCTTCCTCGATCCTCCGCTTGTTTGCTTCCAGAGGCACAGCATCAATCGAGCCTATCGCTCCACCATGCAAGGAGCTGCTCAAAAACTTGGCACCGTCCGCGAAGGCGGGTAAAGAACCTTAAGAAAGAGCTCAGCTACCGTGCCGCAAAATCCTTCTTCACACGCCCCACCCGTGCATCATCAGGGCGGCTATCACGCCAATGAAACAGGTCAAACGGCATTCGTGGGAATAATAGAAGAAAGAATAGGGTGATGGGTAAGCGAATTCTGGAGGCTGGTGGTTGTTGCGCTGCGGCTGAGATTACCACTTTGGGACTGCGGCGTAGTCGATGTGATACCGAGTCGCTGGGTCACTTTGGAACCTTCCTTGGAAGGATCGTGTATCTTGCATCGAACGTCAATGAATCCTTCCTCGGTGGCCACCGAAATGAGAAAGTGAAATTACATCATTCTAGAAATCGTTCGATCATCGTTCTGGGAGCGGAGAGGGCGGTTATGATGAAGTTTAGACATGGACCATGGGGTTGTGAGTGCGCAATCTGGATTGGATCGTCTCGGATCGTAGCGAGAACGCCAATCATGCCATATGTGCTTTTTGGTTTCTTTGCATTTGTTCCTTCCCTTGCCCTATTAAGACAATATGAGTTCAACGAAACATGCTACAACCACGGACTCGGTACCTATACATCTCTGTCGCACAAATGACTCCTTATGAGTTGATTCATCAACCCAAGACTGAGGTCATTACATGGTTTACAACTTCTCCTCCCCTCCTCCCTGGAGCACATCGCGTACGAGCTTGAGGCCTTGCACAGCAAAAGCCACCATGTTGGCTTCGCGCTCGCTGCTCCCCGTCTCTGCTTCTCGAGTCACTGTCTCCCCGCCCTCCCGTGCCACCGCCAGCGCTACGTAGCCTGGCGTACGGTTCCGTGTCGTGCCCCCCGTTGGCCCTGCGGTTCCGCTCTCGCTAATGGTATATGTGCTACCCAGTGTCTTGCGCGTGTGCTCGGCGAGGCCAGAGACGATGGTAGGGGTTGGGCCGCTGTAGGATTTGATGGTTTCTTGTGTCCAGCCGCAGTATGCGATTCGCGACTCGAGTGTGTACAGGGTGAGACCACCGCGGTAGTAGGTTGATGCACCGGGGAAGGAGAGGAGTGCTGCGGAGATCAGACCACCTGCTGCCTGGGTGTAAAGTCGTTAGTAGATGGCTTTGGTTTGGGGGTTCGGGAGATTTTACTGTTTCTGCTACGGAGATGGTCTCTTTGCGCTCTTTGAGGAGTGTGGCTACTTCTTGGACTATTTGCCGGAGCTCTTCGGGTGGGAAGACTGGCGGTGACATGCTGAGGTATGCTGAATTGGGTAGCTAAGTGTCCTTTTTAGGTATGAAGTTCATGTGTTTATGGATTCTTCTTGTGAATGCTATATGTGTTGATAATTTCAACGGAGTTATGACGGATGTAGTCGCTCTCGGTGGGGTAACTCGAGGTTGTGACGTATGCGGGGTAGCTTTCACCACACCTTGAACCGTATAGATAGTATACCGAAATATTATACATACAAAGGCCAACGCAATTTGCCTTAGTCATCGAAAGCGAACCTCTCTTCTCCCCTCTTCATCAATCTGACTGGTATCGAGGCACCCCTCAACTGCAGCGTGATGATGCTTGCCATCTTGGTCCGAAGCATGTCCTGGGCTCTATCCGCAGCCATCTTGTATACTTCTCTCCTTTCTTTGCCTCCCTTTGGCATCTTCTCCACCTCTTCGTCACTAGCAAAGTCATCGACTGCGAGCTCGACGCTATACTGGGAGAAGATTGCTGCCAACACCGCGAGGATCTCCACTTGAGCAAAGCGTCGACCGATGCATGACCGAAAGCCGTCGCTGAAGGGGATGTATGAGCCTTTGACGGGCTTGAAGAGTTCAGATGAGGTGTCTTCGCCTGACGGTCCCCGTAGCCCTTCATCGTCATAGTTGATGTCGATGAAGTCGTTGTCAGGCTTGGTGTCCACGAGCCAGCGTTCAGGTCTAAACTGGTCTACATCTGAGATACCTTCCTTGTTTGAGCCGTCGGATGGTGCTGGCCAATATTTCGGGTTGCGATGGATGGCCGCGCTGAGGAAGACGTGAGCGTCACCAGGCACCATATACTGCTTTCCCCCAATATTCAATGGCTGAGGCCGATCCGCTGCAGTAGACTTTGGAATGTTAACGATTGGTTGTAGTAGCCGTAAAGTTTCGTTCATGACGGCCGCGGGCATGCTTCCGAAAAGTTTTTGGAAATGCTCTTCATACTTCCATTCCTCCATAGGTTTGCCTGCGAATATGTTGTCGATATCGTCCTGTAGTCGCTTCTGAGACGGCCAATTCATGGCGAGTAATACCATCGAGAAATGCAGTGTGTTGGCTGTTGTTTCATGACCGGCCAACATGAGCACAAAGGCGTTACCCAGAAGATCGCTTTTCGTAATCTTTGAGCCCTCTTTCTTGGTAATACCGCTTCCGCGAATCAGCCCGTCAAAAATGTCAAGGCCCGCTTGAGTCTCGCCGAACTCGACCTGGGTCTTTTTTACTTCATAGATCTCATCCATGTACTTACCCCATTCGCGAGCAGCGTCGCTGACTTCACGATGGACTTTTAGTGGGGATCGTGCTGTTAGAGCTTGTTAGATCACATGTTCGACTCAACAGTCAAGTAGTAGCAAGAGGGAACTTACCAAGCCACTTAAGTGGCATAACTTGAGTCCACATGATGTTGTGGAGTAGCTGGCTAAGAGCTGCCCTGTAGCTCATGGCGTAGCCAGGAGGAGCTTCAGATCCCACAAAGATAGAGTCTTCTCCGCCCTTTTTGGACTCCGCCTTCTTGCCTTCCTCATGTGGCCATACTACGCGTATGTCAAACCCCGCTCCACTGATAACATATAGAGCAAAGTTCATGGCCGCAACGGAAGGATCACCAATGGTTTGATTGCCTTTACCATCGGATCCCGTCCACAATCCCAGCATCGACTGTGCGTGATGGAGAGTCTCGTTGAACACGAGCTCATTGTTCTTGTCACCGAAACTTGGCGCGACCAGCTTGCGATGTGTGCGCCATTCTGACCCTTCAGTGCTCACCAAATTCTTGCCGTAGATATCCAATGACGTATACATGTCAAGGGGTTTGGGAAAATCATTGCGGCGGTTCGTGATTTGAGTAACAGCTTCTGCGTCCGCAACAAAAACAACATTTCTGGTAGGAGTTGCGACCATGAAGATGTCCATACCCATCTTCTCGAAAGGCCCATGTCCGGTCGTGTAACTCCATTCTGGATGTAGAAGACTGCGAGATCTAATTAATACCTGGCCTGTTGTCAAGTCGGATTTACATACTCGAACCACATGCCTCGCCATGATTGTGGCACAAATCTCTGCAGCAGCGGCAGCCATAGCGTGAACGTCGACAACCATGTGATGCTGAACGTATACCACGGCGCTACAACGACAGGTAGTCCCGAGCTGTTTGCTAGCGCGATATTGTGCTTCAGGCTACGATACTTCGAAATTATCTGATAGATGGCATAGCTCGCAATGACGCTAAAAACCAGGGTGGCAACCATGACGTTGTTCTCGTCGGGACGACTCCAAGCTCAAAGTGAGGCTATCGACACAAGAAATTGAGATCCGCACGGTCTCACACTATCGAGGGCGCTGTCGTGAGGACGGTGAAGATGGTGCAGTGGATAAGTATTCGCCTTCCAGCGTGCAGAGGGGTTTGTGACGTATACATAGGCGCGATCAATTTTGCCTCACAAGCGTTTCAGAGCCTCGGTTAGGAAGGATCGCTAGCAAATGCATCTCGCGTATGCGTGCAATATGCAACAACTGGCGGTTCATTGAGGAATACGGATGAAGCCATCGTCTGATAGGCTGCGCTTACAAAACTGCTCCTTCTGTGGTGTTGCAATGCGATAGAGGTCCGCGTCATCAGTCATCGCTTCCCACAAGGGCTTGGCGCCTTCGAATCAACGTGTTTCCTTATGTGTACCAGTTGTGTGACACTTGCGCTCACCACGCATCTGCGAAACACAGAACATGAACGTCTAATCTAGTCGTACCACCAGGTAATGGGGACTGCCGGGAGGTGCGCGCTCGGCTGCAAACTCTGCGGTTCATACGACATCGTAGGACCTGGCTCCGAGGAGCAGAGTCTAGGCAATACTTGCGCGCACCGCCTGGTGGACAGCGAGCAGACGAAGATTCGCGTACATCGTCACTTGCGACGTCACATCAGGGCTTTCGTCATTGTTGACTGCATTTGTGTCAGCGCGTGCACTTGGATCTCCAGACGACAAAGCGAATGCGTTCGTTCCATGGTTACGACTCACGGTTCACCGTGTCGCGCCGCTTTGCCGATTCTCCAGCCCCCTCTGCATGCTCTTATGCCAATGCGGCAGGCAGGTGAACAAGGGCCACTACATCATTTGCCCTCTGAGGAGTTGGAATTTCTAGAAGCGTTGTTGCTCCGATCGATGGCGAGGCTTGGTATGCCGTGTTGCAGAGTGAAGCGACTACACCGACTCGACGGCAACTTCTCGACACGAGATTGACTCGCTTCTGCGCCGTCTCTGATGGAGAGGTAGTCCAAGGGACACCCTGTTTTTCTACTGGACGCCTCATGCGCTCCACGTGGTAAAGCAACAGCCGCCAGGATGCTGTAAGCCAGGGTGTTCCCACGAGGGTCGCAGCCCGGCCTGGCTTAGACAATCTCGGTTGTGGGGTGTCGTCAATCGGACAGGTCCTCTCACGCATCAATCATCTAGTCTGAAGCAGACCGCAACTTGCCATAGCGCCGGTGAGCAGCAGGGCCGGGCAGAGTCGGCTCGTCATCTGACAAACTGGCTCAATGGCTATCTCTGTTCAGAGCTTAGCAGCAAAGGCACTGCTGTTTTGGATTGATGTCGCCGGGCAGCTGACCGTTTGTTTGCGGCACGCCCTTCACGGCCGAGTTACCAGGTTACTTGAGCTTGGCCGTGTTGCAAGGGTGTCGAGGGCACTGCGGCGTGCACAGTACTGACCTACTCCAAGTGCACAATGGAGGGGTCGACTCCATGTGGGTTCAGGCTTGCAAATGTTCCTGACGCCATACTGGCGGTCGCGTGTTGCGGCGCGCTAGTTATTACCACTGACTTTGGACCTGATGAAACTAACGTCAATGGAATTGACCGGCGCCTCTGCGGCACTTGCCATGAGCAACAGCCGCGGTTTCCCTAGCAGACGAGACGGACAAAAGGGTGATGCAGTTGTACATACACTACCTCGCCATGTGCCACCAAGACTGCCTATAGGCGTCTCGCCAGGATCTGCAGCACGGAAACGCAACGCTGATCTTTGGGCAGCAGAGTCGTAAGTGACAGGTCCTGTTCGCGGAGACTCGGCGCATGAATCGCTGCAGCACAAGGACGAGCGCGAAGCTTCAGGTAAGCAGAGGGCAGCGGGCGCACGAAGAGGCGCGGCGGCGTCGCGAGATATTGTCTGCACGCCACCAGCAGCGCATCACTTCCATCAACCTTCTCGAATGCCTCGGTGCCGCTGCAAAGTGGAGGCTGGCAGACTAGGGATCGTGACTAGCTGGCCTCAGAGCTCGGATCAGCTTCCTGAATCTTCAGGGCCAGCAATTGGGCGGAAATTATCCGACTATAGCTGCTGACGGCCGGCTTGCTCCAAGCTGCACGGGGGTCGTCGACGATGGTTGTTGCAAGGCGGAGGACCGCGCATCGCCGCACGAAACAGCGAGCACCGTGACTGACACATGGCCGGCGCTGGTGTTGCATCAGCAGCAAGTCATTATTGCAAGTAAACGTGTCGCCAACGGCTGCAGACGGCGGCCAAGTAGCTACAATGGATGCGCGGTCGCGTCGGGCGGGAGCAACGTTTGCTGTCTGCAACGGCATCATCCTATGGCACATGACGGGCTCTGGCAGCGCGCTGTTTGATACAACGGTCCCCATGTCGTCCTTGACGATGGCCACACAGCGCGTCTGGTGGCTCCGCGCTGCTACCCTGGTCTTGTAGCCTGGTCAATGGCACAAGCGACCTGTGTGCTGCACATCCTTCACTTTCGCGCTAATACGCCGCCTTTGCATCCTCGTCCATCTCTCCAGGCTTCGGTATGGTGTTCTCCCCTCCCGACACGCCCATCGCCCACCATAACCCCAACCGTCACCACGGCTAACTCCTACTGCTACCCTCCACCACCGCCAGCGTGCCTGACACAGCGCTGACCCGCCTCCCGCCCCCCGTCTCGTCTCGCCTTGAGCTGTTCCTTTTTGCGACTGATTTAGTTTCGCGCCTCTTGTGATTGCGCCCTGGCCCCTTCGTTCGCACGGCCCGGTCTTAATAGCGCCACTTTTCGCCGACCAAGCCAGCAAACGTCGACAGCATAGACTGTCCGCGACTCAGCTATTTGGGCCTTACCTGCTCCGGATAGTTGTCTCCGGCTCCATGGTAAGAGAGTCTTGCCCAAGGCTAGGTCCTTTCTTCGCGCACGCGGCATAGGAAAGCTCCCGTCCTGCATCCCACTCTGGCCTCCGAGCACTTGCCCTGCGACGCTTTCCAAACTCTTCCCCTCTTCCAGGCGATGACGCGGGTTGGGCTGTCATCTGCAAATCATCTTTGACTCCTAATTCGCTGACTCTCGCGAATTGGTCTTTTCCTGACCCTGCGACTGCCGAGGCCGCCCTCTCCACCACCCCCCGCGACCTTCCTGGCTTTTGCCGTTTGGTGGTCCTGGGACCATCCGTTTTGCCCAGTAGTCGTCTGTCATACATAGCCGCATGGCCATAGCGGATTCCGTCTGGCATATCTAAGGATGGCTGATCCTGACGCGCCCGCCCAGTCTAAGAGAGCTCGTTTGGGCTCCGGCAATCTTGATCATCCGCAGTATAACGGCCACGGATTTCCACCCCCTCCTCCACCGCCTCATACCCAACCCACTCGACCTCCATCCCATCCCACTTTGGTCCAGGCCTCTCCGCCCTACGGTCCTCACGGCTTACCGGTTCCGTCTGCCCAATACCCTTCTCACGTTCAAGGCTATCCCGGACCTCTACCTTCACCGTCCCTTCCGCCATCTGATATTCGTGCCCTTGCGGACCCACGGAACATACCCTCACCTCGTCAACATTCCAATGGCGTTACTGGAGCATCGCCTGTGACGATCCCTCAGGACCGAATCAACAGCTACCGTCCCCCACTCACACCTCAGACAACCACTGCACCAGAGCAACACAGTTCCCGGTCCACCAGCGTCAGTATCAGTGTCGACGTCAAGTCTCAAAGTCAGACTCCCATGGAGCATGGCGGCCATCACCAGCCGTGGGCAATCAGCCACGAGCATCGCCCTAATGGCAGCATACCGAATGGATACAACCACGCCATGAGTCCATCGCACCCCAACGGACCGCCATATCATGCCCAGCCTCCACCACCTGTCCAGCAGTACGCCGCTCCTGCCACGCCCTACGCGCAGACTCCGTACATGAACGACTATGGCAACGCGCAGCAGATACGGCGGAAGCAGGTGCGCGCCACCCAAGCGTGTAACCACTGCCGTTCGCGAAAGCAAAAATGTGACGAAGCGCGACCGTGCCAGTTCTGCAGAGAGAACAACTTCGAGTGCCAGTACAAGGACGTCCCGCCACCCAAGTGCGTTGCTCACATCCCCCCTTTGGTACTTCGCTGACCCCCCCTAGGCAAGACAGAAGCATGATGCAACTTCAAGAAAGTGTTAACAGCATATCTGAAGTCCTGTCGCAGTTCGTGGACCAGTTCAACGGCTGGAAATCCAGTGTTGAGAGTCGGCTCCCACAGCCGCGAGACCACGAGATGATGTCGAATCACGCTTCGCCTGTCGCTTCTTTCTCGGCACCCCCGAGAGAGCATGGCACATCTAGATGGCCTACTCCCGTACAGGGAAGAGGACATATGGGCCGTGTCAACAGCAACCTGAAGATGGAGTCTCCCATCGCTCCTCACTCGAACATGATGTCGCCTTTGGGCGGACAAGCATCAGCATCCATCAAGCAGGAGTCTCAGTTCGCGCCACCTCCCCAACAACCGGCAACACCAGCCGAGAGTGTAAGGACCGACCGCAGCCATGCCACTGAAACCAGTCCCAAGGAACAAACTGGCCTGCAGGGTGATCACACTACACCGGCGCACAAGTTGCTCGACGAATGGCAGCAAATGAGCATTTTCTATCAAGGTATTCCTTATCTGAGAAGACTAATGGACAACGGTCGTGAAGTCTCGGACTACCCGATGCAGCTTGAGCAGGATCGCGGTCTGTTGCGCGTCTGGGGTGTTGGCGAGGGCCAAGACCTAAACGACGGAGCCCAAGGACCTGGAAGCCCTGAGAGCAGCAACGACTCCGAAGCCGCATCACCAGCACCTGGCAAAGAAGGCCTATGGGGCTATCCGTTTTCTCCGGATCCCGGTGCCGCAAGGACTCCGGGCAGCACGCCGCGAGAGTATTTCCCCCATCAGCCGCGGCAGGGGACAGGGAACGGGCTTGGTCCAGATGGTCGGCCCGACTTCTCCCGCCCAGTCATGTTCGAGTTGCTCAGGTCCTACATGGAGACGATGCACATATTCCACCCGTTCATGAACGAGACGAAGCTCAGGCGCATGTTCAAGGACTTCAGCGATCAATATAGTCCTGATGCAAGGCACATGAACCCCCACTCGCCTGCTCCCGTCCACGGAGTAAAGCGAAAGCGCTCGAATAGCAACTTCGAAGGAGGATTACCGGGAGGTCGTTGCGATATCGAGAGGTCATTGCGCAACGCGATTGTACTGCTCGTCCTTGCTCT